TAAATTCTATCATGAGTAGACTTTCTCGCGCGGTCTGTCTCTCCTCTGTGCTGCTCTTTAATTCCCTTCTGCCTTTTTTTCTCATTAGCTCTGTTGGAGTATTGCATTACACAAGTTTAAAGTCTCAAATCCGTCAGATCCAAATCTTTTTTCTGTCCCAATTCCGACTGATAACACTCACCGCGGGGTTTCCTGCCGATACTGAGCACAGTCTGAATACGTAGCCAGTGCAGTTTAATGTTAGGTGAAGTGAGGACAAGGGATCGCTGTTAAGGATTGGGCACCCACTGTAACTATATATATATATTATATTCTCCGTCATTCCGGTGACAGACCTAAACTATCAAACTTAATCTGGTGCAGTATTGAACACACACTCATCTTTTAAACTCAATCGATGTTAAGACATTTATCGAATAAACAAAAGTGTTCTCTGCTCTCAGGTCGCAGGATGTGACTCTTTTCTCCAGATTTGTAATCGTTGTAAGGACTCACTATGTTTGTATTCCGACTGCAAGTTTGAAGAACTGCGCTCTGGATAATAGCAATCTGCGCACGATTGTTAGTTGCCACCTGTCAGTCGTCAAGTCATCTTCTCCTACAATCTGTCTCTCCTTCCTTCCCCGTCCTCGTTCTCCAGGCTGTCACACCGGAAGAGCCTATCGGAGACAAGGACTTCCGCAGCGGATTTGGAGAACGGCATCTGATTATGCGAGTAAAGCTCGTGACGTCCGCCTCCCACCTCGGTTTTTTTGACATTGTCTGAAGAGCAACCGACATACATAAACTCCTCTAAAGACTCTAATAAATGCTCCTCCTCCTCCTCCTCCACAACTGCAGCCCGCAGGCTGCTCGAGTGCAATCAACCAGGGCTGCGTCAAGAACGAACTCAACCGACTGCCCACCCCATCGCCTGGGTGGTAAGCCAAAGACTCTCCAGTGCGTGACATTCAGCGCCGTTCCGTCCAAAGTGACAAAGCTCTGACTGTCATGTGGTCCCTGCTGTCTTGTAGGACAACCTGTCAGTCTTCCTGCGGCTGTGAGGAGCTTGGGCCTGAAGGGCTCCCCAGCCTTGTTTTGACCCGGGGACCTACAAGACACTTCATACGAGCGACACTCAAAGTAAACATCAGCCGTGTGTGTGTGTGTGTGTGGCTTATTTATTCCTGTTCATATCCATTTTAATCTGGTATCACATGACAGTAACACACCTCTCTCTCTTCAGGGACTCTGACTGCAACCGCAAACTTAAAAATGTGAGTAATTATTACCCTTTCTTTCTTTCTTCTATGTGTTTAGTAATTTATGAGTATACAATAAACCTCCTATCGATGTCTCTCAGGTGCTGAACACAGTGTTCTGGCTCGGGAAGGCTGCCAGCGGTTGCGCCTCCTACAGCGGTCCCACTCTCAACCTGAAGGAGTTTGAAGGGCTTCTCGCTCAAATGAAGGTGGTGAGTGAACGGTCAAGAGGACAGAGCAGGGAGGGGGGAGGAGAAGGAGACAGAAAGACAGATAGCGGCACGCAGGAGGCGCGGGGGATGGATTTGTTAGTTTCCTGTCTTTGTTGGGGTGCAGGAGAGACACGCGAGACAGGAGACAAACACGTTTTTGTTGTTGTTACACCACAGCTACTCTTATTTCAGGGAGAGACAGAAAAAAGAAACAGGATGTGAGTTGGAAAATAAGATTGGCTCTGCAGATTTTATCTATTGGAAGTCAAATAAGTGTTTTTGCTGTTTAGGTTTCTAATGCAAGAGAATGAGCAAACTTAGTTCTCCTCCCTCAACCCGTGTATTGTCTCTTAAATTAGCTTCTGCATGCATTTATTTACATGCTTTATACACTTTTCCATATATTTTCCTGATGCATGATGTGTTGTTGTGTCCCACATGTGTGTGTTGTGCAGGAGAGTGAGGAAGGAGGGGAGAGTCCACAGAAGCGCAGCGTTAGAGACAGCGGCTACGACTGTTGGGACTCTGAGAGGAGTGAGTCTCTCTCTCCACCCCGACACACTCGGGACAACTCCCTCGACAGGTGAGAGACATCTGTCAGGACACGCACATATCCGAATACGCTGCTGCACACAGCCGTTGTGTTTCAGGTTACCGATACATACATACAGAAACTCCAATTCAAAACCTCAAAACTGGTCCCATTGACACAAAACCTGTGTTATCGTTGAAGCGAATGCCCACACGTGTGATTTCACATTCACAATAAAATGTTTTCTTTTGTTTTTGACAGTCTGGACTCCTTTGGCTCCCGCTCGCAGCACAGCCCTTCTCCTGATGTGGTGAATCGAGGCAACAGTGATGGTTGGTTCTGATAAATAGGAGCCCCATACTTAGCATACAAACATTAGAATGGGTATAGATATTCTCATCTAACTCTCTGAACGCAAACAAATAAACATATGGCCCAAAATGTTGAACTATTCCTTTTAAGCAGCGATACAAAACCACTCATCCATAAATAGTCTGACTGCTGTTCTCTAACATGTTGGGGTTTAACCTTGGTATGTTTTGGCCAGTCTGGCAGGCCATGGACAACAGCTGAACGTCTCAGCCACTGTGTGTGTGTGTGTGAAACCCAGCTGTTGGTCTAAGTAGCAATCACTAGAGATTTGGACCTGGGAAACACAGAATGGGGTTAACATCCTGCCTTTCATATGTCAGTCTGTGTGTGTTTGAGGGGAGTATCACAGACATCCTGTTTGTGTCTTTTATGTTGACAGTCTAAAATGTGTGCCGCAGGGTGACAAGAAAAACACTATTCCAGAGCCGGGAATAGATTCATTCCCTGCATTCCCTAGAGGTCACAGACAAAGTGTGCAGCCTTACCAACTAATATTTATTACCCAACAAGAACGGATGGACAGGGAATCTCGTTTGTACCATTCTGTCTGTGCGTCTGTTTGCAGAATACTTTATAGATTTATGACAATTACCTTGTCGAGAAATGATCAGTGTTTGTCACTTACTGCCCATAATTGTGTTACAGTTACATTTAAAGAGTAATTCTTCCTCATTACAACTTGAATCATATTATTCTGTTACGTACACTGAACTACAACGGGCAATCAGAAAAGATGCAAATGACAGTTCATCTCTTGTTCTCTTCCAAATAAATTTGACTGACCTAGGAGTTTGTTTAACATCTGGCTGAGCATCTGAGCGCTCGTGTTTCTTGCCTGTCTGACTTTCCACTTTCAGGAACTGCGAAAATAAGATGGGATGTAATAAAAGGAAAATATCCTTCTAAAGGGACATAAAACCTTAAAATCTTGTATGACTATTAGGAGACGTAGGAAGGAAAAACCACAATTACTCTCCCAATAAAACAACATCGTGGGATAGGAAAGGTTATTGTTTGAGATACACAAAACTACTCTGTCAGTCTTTTCAAATGTATTATGTCGGTAGAACGGCAGCCTCATGAATACAGAACTGATTTCACTACGTCTCAAATGCTAAAGCGTCTCGAAACTTAAGATGTTGGTCCCTTTTAATGAACATGACCCTTACTGACATGAAACTAACTGGTAGAGCCAGTGTCTTCAGAGTTTTACACGGTTTGCAGAGGTCGTTACGCAAGGACCGATTAAATATAGTTCCTGACATACTTTCTAACCTTCACTCTTTTCTCTTTTATGCTCCGTCACTCTTTGGTTCGTAGGACGAGGCAGTGACTCGGAGGCTGACGCTCCCGGCAGGAGGCCAGATGTGCGGAAGGATGACATGTTGGCCAGACGGACGGCCAGCAGTGAATCGAGAAGCTCCGTTCCTTTTAACCAGTTTCTTCCCAACCGAACCAACGCCAGTTCCTACATCCCGACTCCGCGGCGAAAACCGCATACAGAGGAGGGAGAACAGCGGAGGTAATGACCAATCAGTGCACGAAATCATCCAGATGCATATTGTACATTTTATACACACGTTTCTAAGTGCTGCAGTTGATGATACAAAAACCGAGCAGAAGGAAAAAGGTAAAAAATCACACGAGACACACAAACTTCCTCGTAGCTAATCTCTCCCTGCCATTACACGCCGTTCCCCAGTCACCTTCAAGCCACTGCAGAGCAGAGCAGAAGAGCTGGTCTGCAACACAAAACCCACAAGACCGTCACTTGGGCGCCTGAGAACAATGGGGAAACACTAAAGCATGAAGAGGAGAAGGTGACCCGGGAAGTGGTGGAGCAGAAGAGGCTGCAGATGTTGGAGAAGGCTGGGATTAAAGTTCTGCCTGCTGCTGTTCGTTACAGCAGGTCAGGGAGGAGGGGCATGAGCGCTGCTGCTGTTGTGGTTTGACGGTTTTGGTCGTGTTCACTAACGGATCGTTATGATGGTAATTTTGTTTTTCCCGGTGCTCCATTCACACTGGTGCTGTGGTTTGACTTTTGGTTTTGTGCAACAATGAGGGTTATTAATGATGAAGTTTTGTGTGTTGGTCAACAGATCTGACTAACTGCTTGCTCCGTTTTTGTGTTTTTAAGTATGGGGAGATTGATTTCATGTCATGTCAGCTGTGGTTTGGTGTGTAAAGAGTTTTTGAAGCGCACAGTGTGAACTATCACTAATCCGCGGGACCTTGCCAGTATTATTTGCGGCCGCATGTCGAAATCCGAACTTTGCACGTCGCTACTTCTACTCACAAGATGCACTGATGGATTTTTAATGAATCTCTGAAATGACTTTTGCCACACCGTCCCGTCTCCAACCCCAGCCCTCCCACAATGGAAGAACCAGAAGTGAGGACAGAGCCCCCGAACATCATCCTTCGCTGCGAGAACGACTTTTTGAGCTCTCAGAAATCTGCGTGGGACTGCTCCTCTGATGGGGAAGAGGAGGCAGAGGTGCGGAAACTCCCGGATGTTCGTAAAGATGACCTGGCATCCAGACGAGCTCGTCGCGGCCCTGTTGCTCCCAAGGTGCATCAGTTTGTCCCTCCACCTGTATGTAGCGACAAAGACCGAGAGCGCTGGGAAGGCATCAGACGAGCGTCGCAGCAAACGCTGCAGGAGAAGGAGATCAGGTTAGCCAGTGAATGTTTGTGTGTGATGCAGTTCTTCCATTTTCTCTAACTCACTGCTAAATATTCTCTCCCATTTCCTGCTCTTTCTTTCTTTGGGTGTTGTTGTCACTTGTGGTTTGACGTGCGTGTGTGTGTGTGTGTGTGTGTGTGTGTGCCGCACTTGAAATGCCGCGTGATGCCACTGTACTCGCTCTGTGATTGGACAGTGAGAAGGAAGCAGTCCCTGACATCATTACACGCAGAGACAACCCCTTCCTAAACTCCATCCCTCGCCACGAGGAAGAGGAGGATGAGGAGGCAGAGGAGGAAGAGGGAAAGGTTAAGGCGATGCCTAATAAGCAGAAGGATGACCTGGCTCAGAGGCGGGCTCAGAGTAGGCCCCTCCCCCACAGGGACGGACCAATGAGCTTTGTTTCTGCCTCCATGAGCCAGGCAGACATGCAGAAGTGGGAGAGACTCAAGATGACTGAACCCAGGTGCTCAACACACACACTCTGATTCAGCACACGTGCAGAACAAAGCACTTAAATGCTGCTGTGTGTCAAGTGTGTGGTTTATAATGACTGTGCAGTGTGTGTGTGTGTGTGTGTGTGTGTGTGCTTCTTAGTTTTAGTTCCAGTCCTAAGCAGATCATTGCAGGCAGAAGAGGGTCAGTGATCTGCAGAGACTTTCATATAAAGTTACAACCCAAATTGAGTCCACTAAATATTTTTTAAACCCTAACAACCAAGTTTAATCCTCACTTAACCACTACAAAGTGCACATTATTTGAAAGCACACAGTGTCTCTGTCAGTGTTTTTAAAATCCCAATATCATTGCACCAACAGTTGCACACAAACCAGTAAAATAAAAATAACATGACTTTATATGTGTAGATAGATAGATAGATAATGCTAAATAATGTATAAACCTATATAAGTTAATATTGTAACTTGCTCAAGACTTTAAGGACTGGATGGTAAATCCTAAATATGTTAAATCATAAAATAAAAGACTTGTTTTATAATAAGTGAATATTTAAATATCTAAAGTCACAAATGAGTATAGCTAAAATATTCAATGTCAAAATTACAGTTTTCCATTTTATGGGCCGAACTATCGCTATAACTATTTCCTGGGGTCAGTCAAGAAACAGTTTGGCACATAAACCCTCCGTGAAACAAGAAGTTGTTGTTTAAACAAACAAACGTATGTTAATTATTGAGCTTCAGAGGTTCAGAGCGAACTTAACGGCTCCTATCTGTAGTTTCATAGTTAGTGCAGAAACAGTGGTGTTTATCTTCTAATACAACTCATGACAAGACAGCAAACACGTGTTAGTTACTTTAAGTCATATATAAGCAAACATGTTAAAACAAACACTGATCCAGCTGCTCAAACACGAGAGCTTGCTTCATATGATTAGAAACAGAATATATTTGGGTTTTTGACTATTGGTCAGACAAAACAAACAATCTGAAGATGTCTCCTTGAGCTCACATTTTATACTTTAAATGATTAATCGCATCAAAAAGATTATCAACAGGTTCATAATTTAAATAGTCATTTGCATCCTTGAGAGGAAATAAAGTTAACATTATATCTGTCTTTAAGTTCGTGTCACAATCAGAAATACTTCTTTAAAAACCTCTAAAGATACCAACATATCTACTTGTCAATATACCTCCACGTCTACTTGTCAATATTCACTTTTAGCTCTTCTCCCATAAGACTCTTGTATCCCTTTGTAAGCAGCTATATATCTCCTTAGATTTAGTTTCCCTTCTTTCATTTTCTCTGTTGCTCCCCATGTTCTCATCTGCTTGTTTATTCTCCTCACTATCGTGCACTTCAGTCCTCTTCACTCTCCTCTGACAGGCATTGAAACAGTGCGGGGAATTGGCCGGTGTGTATGAGACCGTGCGTGTGTGACCGAAAGAGAGGCGACTGTTGGCCGCGAGCACTGCTTCGGCTTTGTTTTCCTCTCTCTGTGCTGATGTCATTAGATAGGATAAAGAGTTTTTTGTGTTCCCAGAGGAGCAGCAGTTACCAGGACCAAATGTGGCTACCTAGAGTGGATAAAATGCTTGGTGTGTGTGTGTGAATATACATGTGTGAAGGGATTTAAATACACAACCCCATGCTTTGTTCTCTTCTGTCCATCCAGACTTCCTGTCTGATTCACAATTTCCACCTCATCCTTCCTTTGTCTTCACAGTCTGATTCTCCGTGTCTAGTTGCTCATGATTTCTTTTCCACCCTCTTTCCTTTCTCCCTGCTCTCTCTCTCTTTTGCTGGCTGTTCTGTGTGTTTGTTGTGTTTCTGTCTTCATTTGTGAGATTCTATCTAACAGTGAGGCTAGCCCGCCCCTGGTTTGTCAGGCTTGTCTGGGAGAAAAATGAGGTCACAGCAAAGTTGTGACCTTTGGGGGCGTGACTGAGATCGAGCAGCCAATAGACACAGTCACGTCAAGTGAAGGGGAGGAGACGGAGTTGCTAAGACGACTCCTTTCCAAGGCAACTGTAGCCATGCCTACCATTGGCCTGGGCTCCCAGCTTTCAGAGCGGGAACGCAGGTACGCACGAGGCCAAATACGAGACGACGTAGGCTG